AAAGACTCCACACACAAAAAAAAACTATTAGAACTGATAAATTCAGTGAAGTTGCAGGATGGAAAATCAACATACAAAAATCAGTAGCATTTCTGTATGCCAATAGTGAACAATCTGAAAAGAAATTTTTTAAAGTAACCCCATTTACAATAGCCACAAATAAAATTAAATGCCTAGGAATTAAGCAAAGCAGAAAAAACAATCTCTATAATGAAAACTATAAAACAATGATGAAAAACATTGAAGAGGACACCAAGAAATGACAAGATATTCCATGTTCATGGATTGAAAGAATTAATATTATTAAAATGTCCACATTACCCAAAGCAATATACTGGCATAAAAACAGACACATAGACCAATGAACCAGAAAAGAGAACCCAGAAACAAATCCATACACCCACAGTGAACTCATTTTTGACAAAGGTGCCAAGAACATACACAGGGGAAAAGACAGTCTCTTCAATAAATGGGGCTGGGAAAACTGAATATTTATATGCAGAAGAATGAAAGTAGGTCCATATCTCTCACCATATGCCAAAACAAAATGAAAATGGATTAAAGACTTAAATCTAAGGCCTCAAATTATGAAACTATTTTGAGAAAAAATGGGGGAAATATCTAGGACACTGGCCTGGGCAAAGATTTCTTCAGCAATATCCCACAAGCACAGGCATCCAATGCTAACATTGACAAATGGAATAACATCAAGTTTAAAAGCTTCTGCACAGCAAAAGATATAATCAACTAAGTGAAGAGACAACCCACGAAATGGAATAAAATGTTTGCAAACCACTCATCTGACTAGGAATTAATAACCAGAATATCTGAGGAACTTAAACCACTCTATAGGTAAAAATAATCCAACCAAAAAATGGGCAAAAGATTGGAATAGACATTTCTCAAAAGAAAACATACAATGGCAAACAGCCATGTGACAAGATGCTCAACATCACTGGTTATTAGAGAAATGCAAATCAAAACTACAGTAAGATATCATCTCACTCCAGTTAAAATGGCTTATATCCAAAAGATAGGCAATAACAAATGCTGGAGAGGATGTGGAGAAAGGGAACCCTCGTCCACTGTTGGTGGGAATGTAGATTAGTACAACCACTATGGAGAACAACAAAACAAAACACTAAAAATTGAGCTACTTATGATTCAGCAATCCCACTGCTGGGTGTACACCCGGAAGAAAGGGACTCAGTGTATCAGAGAGAGATCTGACTCTTGCTTGTTGCAGCACCATTCACACAGCCAAGATACGGAAGCAACCTGAGTGTCCGTCAACAGATGAACAGATAAAGAAAATGTAGTCCATACACACAATACGGTACTATTCAGCTGTAATAAGAAAGAAGGAGGTTCTGTCACTTGCAACAACATGGATGGAACTGGAGATCATTATGTAAAGTGAAACAAGCCAGGCACAGAAAGAAAAACACTGTATTTCTCACTTATATTTGAAATTTAAAAATCAAAACAATTTAACTCATGGACATAAAGAGTGGAAGGATCGTTACAAGGTAGTTGGGGGAGATGGGGATGGTTAGGGTACAAGAGTAATAGTTACAAACAATGAATAACACAGATAAGACCTACTATTTGATGGCCCAATAGGATGACTATAGTTAAGAATAATTTAATTTTGCGTTTTAAAATAACTAAAAGGATATACTTGGATTGTTTGTAACACAAATGATAAATGCTTGAGGGATGGATACCCCATTCTCCATGACTCGATTATTATTCATTGCGTGCCTGTATCAAAACATCACATGTATGCCCTAAATATATACACTTATACTCACAAAAAAATTAAAATTAAATTACTTTTAATTCAGGTTGTCCATTTGACCTAAACAAGCATGGGAAGTTGTCAGGGGCAGACAAGTGGCATCACTGCTGAAGCATGAAGCCAGCATTTTTACAGACACACGAAAGTTGGTCAGAACTAGCACTGGTTTGAGGATTTGTTTTTTCTTTTTCTTGCTTTTTTAACAGAGACAAGATTTCACTATGTTGCCTGGTCTGGCCTCAAACTCTTGGGCTCAAGCGATCTGCCTGCCTCAGCCTCCCAAAGTGCTGGAATTGCAGGTGTGAGCCACTGTGACTGGCTGGGTTTGAGAATTTCAGTGATAAGATGATAAAAACCTGACTATTTGTCTTAGATTAGACTATATCTCAGCACACACTCAGGCCATCATGTCAGCTGCTCAGTACAGAAGCAGGTTGGCTGCCCACACATCTGCATTCCCTGAGCATGTTGCCACTCCTGTTTCTGCTGTCTTTGGCCTTCTAGAAAGTTGTCTTCTCCAAGGTTGGTTTATCCCAGGAGATACTTGGAAAGTACCCAGAGTCCTCAAGTGAAATAGGGACATCGATTCAATCCCAGCTTGGCCGCTTCCCACCATACCTCCCAGATTATAAAGGCTGTATCAGGAGTATCCCCTCCAGAAGTCCCATTGCCTCCATCCTTGGTCCCGTCACTTGGAAACATGAGACCGTATCCACCTTGAGTCAATTCCAGAATCCTAGAACAAGGGGTCCTTCTAACTTTCCATTTTCCATTTCTACTTTGTCCCATAAAGTGAAAGGAAATGTAGCCACCCTTAGGCTAAGTTCCACATTCTCTCCTCCATAGATGAGCATTCCACCATCCAGAGACCCGATCTCTCCCAGGAAGAGCCTGTTAGCAGCGAAGATGCCCATGATTGAAGGACTCCTACAGAGCACACAGCAAGAGTCACTAATCTCTCCACAAGGAACGGAGGTGAGGGGTGGGATGCTCAATGATTATTTGGGCTTCAGAACTCTAAGTCTGTTCTTATCATGAAGGCCTTCCCTAAACCCTCAGGCTGGACTAAGTGCATGTAGCTTTCCCTGGCCCACTGTGTTATCATAACCCTTCTCAAAATACATTGAAATTACATCTTTTTCATCTAGATATCCTTACTTCATAGCCTGCTAATGTTTGAAATGGCCCAAATGCTTTCCAAAATTTTAAATTTGGGGACATTTTCATTTTAAAATGACTAAAAGAATTTTAAATTTTGGAAAGAATTTGGGCCAAGCATTAGCAGGCTATGAAGGCTTGATTAGCAAGCTATGAAGGCTTGATTTTTGCCTGAAAGTCTCTAAATAGCCCAGTGTGTCTGTGATTTCTTAACCGGGATAACTCATTGGGGTTTTTTCCCTCTATCCCTTGTCCTTTACCTCAACCCCTCCCTTCCTCACCCCAATTACTAGCACCAAAGATAAACAAAATCCATGCAGTTCATCCCCGCCTTCCCAGGTGCTACCCACGTTCCCTGAACCTGCTCAGACTTAGTTCACTGGGGCAGTGACATCATGCAGATCAATCTAGGCTTGGGGCAGTGCATCGTAGCGGCACCAGAGTTCCCAGTTAAACCCATCAACTGCCAGTTGATACTTATCCAGTTCAAAGGTGTCAAAATGAATGTTGTCAAACACAGGAGACACAGTCATGGTGTGGTCTTCCTGAATCCGTGCCAAGATTGGCTCTGCCCTAGAAGAAGAGTGTGCAGCAAGCTGCTCCAAGCACCTTGCCCTAACATTGAGCACCTCCTCCATTTAGGCTGTGCTAAGTTGTGAGTAGAACTCTGCAGAGTCCAGAGAATCTCTGTACCTTTTGAGGTAGCCGAGGCTGCTAGCAGCCAACCCGTGTCAAGAACAGGTTTGAAATTAGTACCCAAGGAGCACCCCCAGGCCATTGTGAAGCAGGATTATCAGTATTTATATTACTCCTTGAATTTATGTTATCTCTTGGTTCTCCCTGTTTCCAAAATGATGCTTCTTTCCTGTCTGATTCTTCACATTTTTTAAAGAACATAGCTCTCTTGATCATATCATGTCATTTCAGGGCTGGGGAAAAATCTTTAAAATAAACAAAGGCTAATCTCTTCATCTTTACAGTTAAAGATACAATGTCTAGTTAAGTGAAGTGACTTATTAAAATTCACAAAGTATTTGACAGTCAGAGTTATGATCCAACTGTCGATACTCTCCACCATGCTGCTTCTCTTAGCCAAGCAAAATGCGTGCATAAAAGCATGCTCTTTTGGAGTTCCCCTTTGTTTAAGGTCTGGTGCTGACTTTCCCTATGTCCACAGTATTCTGTCTTGTGTTTAATACATGCCCAAGATCTCCTGTCTGCCCTTCCCAGAAGAATCAGCCTCCTTGAGCCTTATCATCCAACATTGACTTCAATGTGAGCGTCCAAGATGGCGACCACATCTGCTGTGGCAGCTTCCCAGCCACTGTTACGGGCTTGAGCAAGACCTTCCCTCTCAGGGTGCTGTATTATTTTCAGTGGTCCTGGACACTTCTGGTTATAAAGTTTAATCTTCTCATCCAAGTGTACCTTTTGTTCTCCTGTCAACCAAGTGCACACCTATAGAAATCTGAGTGCAATAATCAGTTTGATGCAGAAGGTTTATACTACTCTATAATAGTGGCTGGACTATCTCCAGCATAAAATGGGCAATTCTAAGAGTCAACTAGAATAGTAGTATTTCCTCTGTGCCTGCCTCTCTTCTCGCTTTCACCTGAAGTGTACTGTGATCATTCCTAATTTCCTTGCCCTCACAGTTAACCTATCTTAGAATGATAATACTGCTTACTACCTGTTAGGCACTGTCACAGGTGCTTCTTAACATTGAGAGGTTCTTGAGAGAATGAGTAGGACAGACCTAGCCTAACTAAGGTACAGAGGCTGATGGAAAACACTGCAGGAAGGCCTGAAACATCTTCATAACTAAACTCTCAAGACTTTCTGGAAAATCCATAAATGACTAAAATTGTTTTGTTTTAGATATTTCCAGTTGATCTACTTAAGGACCAACTGGGACAGAATGCACAAATTAATCTCTTTGCCAGCTTCTAGCTAGTGAGTTGAGCTCAAAAATTATGCAAACAAGATTCACTATTCCTGGACTGTTTACAGGTGGTTTTCTTTTCTCTCTTCCCTCTCTTTTTTTTTTTTTTTTTTTTTCATTCTTACAAACGTTTATTTTCCTTCAAATTTATTGTGTTTTTCTGTAATGATGTGAAAAGTCTTCATTTCCCTTTTCCCCAGTGGTGAGGTTCAAAAAGCCAGATCTTAACCAGAAACTAATCTTCATCTCTTCAATGTCTTGTATGTTGATTTAGTTTCATATGTATTTATATTAGTTTTCCTCAGGGATTTATACATCGATATATATATATATATGTGTGTGTATATATATATATTCCTACACAGATATATACAAGCTTTTTATCCTCATCTTACCACTTGACAATACAACTTTAAGTATGTTTTACACAGCTGTTCCTTGGTCAAGGTCATTTGCAAGAGCAAGTCGGTTTCTGAAGAAATCTTGTTTGGTGGGTGAAGGATCCATTGAGAGATTCTCATTAGTTTTTTCCCTGTATTCTGATCCACTGGACCTAAAATTTCTTTTTAAAGAGCTTGCGGAAGGAGCTGCGAAAGCCCCCTTTCTGGTCTTGCCTGGGATTTTGATCGCTGAAAGATGTTTGTTCACTTTCTCTTTCTTCTTTGGGACAGAATCTGGTAGTATCTTCTAAATGCATCTCCCTCCTTACTTCCAAATAGGTCTGTTTTTCGCTTTGGGACCTCTGTTGGGGGGGGAAAGTCCGGGGCGCGCCGCGGGCGGCAACAGCTGCAGCGGCCGGGCCGTGCGGCTGTGCAGCGCGCTTGGCCTTGATGGGCGCGCGGCCGCCGCTACTGCTGCGCGTGCTGTAGAGGCGCGGGGCCACGCCGTCGGCGGGCGGCGCACGCGGGAACTCCTTGAGCGAGCGGCTCAGCGGCTTGGCCTTGCCGTGCGCCTGCGCCTGCGCCGCGGCCGCCTCCAGCTTGTAGGCGCCGCTGCTGCCCGCGGGCGACGTGGCGCTCTTGGGTAGCGGCTGCAGCGGGTGCTCCGGCCGCTCAGCCTCCATGGCGAAGCTGACGGGCCGCAGGAAGCAGATGTCCAGGCTGGACTCGGAGGAGGCGGGCGAGCAGTTCTCGAAGAGGGCCGGGGCCTGGAACGGCTCCTCGTCGTAGGGCGCAGGCAGCGCGAAGATCTCGCCGCCGTACTCGAACTCCTCGTAGGCCGCCGGCACGAAGCCGCGGGCATCGGGCAGGAGCTCGGCCGGGGCACGCAGGGAGCGCTCCACGTTGCCCAGCGGTTCGGCCGGAGAGGGGTCGAAGTCCATCTCCGGGATGGCCTGCAGGGGCCCGGCCAACGCCTTCACGTCCTGCTCGGCCGCGCAGAACTGCGTGGGCGCCAGGAGGCTCTCGGGCCGCTCGTGCTTCCTGCCCTCCAGCTCCCAGTCACTGGGCTTCCCGGGCTGCATGCTCTCCATCAGGCTTTGCTGCTGTTGGCTTTTCTTCACTGGGGGCATCAGATGTGTGACGGTAGGGCCAGAACTGGGAGCAGAAGGGTAGGGTTGCAGCATCTCTTCTGAGTGGATCCCAGTGTCACGGACAGCCTCAGGACCTGCAGTGGGGGAAGCATCTTGCCCGGCATTGGCACACTGGGAAGCCAGCCCTTTGTACAGCTTCGCCATGGATGACTTCTTGAGCTTTTTCCGTTTCTGAATAAGCAAATCTTCATTGCATTGAAACAGCAGGGTGTAGTGTGAGATAAATACTCGGAGGCGCTGGACGCACACCAGGAGTAGATAATAGTCAGGGTGCTCCTGCTCTGTGAACTTCAGGACATTCTGCAGATGTATCAGATATTCCGGGATGCGCTGGACTATGTGGAAAAACAACGTGTAGATGTCAGATTTAATCTCTTCATCACCCTCTTTCAGGACTACAACATGAACCAATGAGATGCACTCAGGCAGGTCCCTCAGGTAGGCAACGTAATAATCCAAGAAATTATTCTCATCATTTGTTAACTTAAGGAATAAATCTCCAAGGACGCCTTGGCGTGGCCACTTCAGGACCCTTTCCTGCAGTGCGTGAAGCAGATCCAGGTGCTGCTGGACAAGGTACCGTAAAGAGCCAGGGAAGAGGCTTCTCTCTTTGGAATTCCTCTTTCCATCAGACCCCTGGAATGTGGCTTTTATCTTCAAGATCAGAGAGATGTTAATGACATATTTTCTTTCAGATTCAAGCAATTCCAGGGCCACAGTCTGTCTTTTAGCAGCTAAGGAGGTTTCACATAAAACGTTTTCCAAGGAGCTGTGTCTACCCTGGCTGGCCTCCTTGAGTTTATCCGGGTGGTCTTTGGTGACGTATTCTTCACCCCATTCTTTACCATCCTTAGGCTGCCTCCACATGCCAGATGGGAGATGGCCTTTGGGCTGGATCTCAGCCGAGAGGCAAGACTTGAGGTTTTCTTCTGCTTCTGGAGTTGTTGGGTTCACTCCAGGACCCATCATTGCCTTCACATTACTGTCTCCTACATGAACAGATCTGGAATCTTGGCCTTGTTGACCAGGATGGTCTCGATCTCTTGACCTCGTGATCCACCCGCCTCGGCCTCCCAAAGTGCTGGGATTACAGGTGTGAGCCACCGCGCCCGGCCGTTCATGTCCTTTTTCATAGGCCTGAGAAGGCAAAAGGTTGGTAAAGTCTTCGCTTGGAAGAACAGGCTCAGGGATATTGATTGAACGAAAAGGACTTCCTTGTGCTTGTGCAGGCCCGGCCTGTGAGCTGTGTTCTTCTTTCTGAGTTTTCTTGGCTTTAACTTTTCGAGATTCTCTTCGCTTCTCCTGTTGAAGCTGTTCGATTTTCTGTTGCATTTCTTCTTGTTTGGAAGTGATGGCTTGGATCATTGACATGGCATTGCTCAGCTCTTCCTTGAAATAGTTTAATGAATTCTTCATCTCAGTAACTTTTTCTTCCATGGAACATCTGCAGCTCTTAACCTTTTCTTCCAAAGCATATTCTCCATGTTGAATTCTTGACAGTTCTTGCATTGCTTCTGTGAAACCAGTTTTGAGTTCAGAGGCTAGGGCCTGCAACTGGTAAATCTGCGTGGAAGGATTATTCACCGGCATATGTTCATTCTCTCCTTGCTTTGTTTTGGTTTTTTCCATAGTGCCGGTTACTTCTCTTCTCCCACTTATTCTTCAACATTGCATCCTCATCGTCCTGGCTTAGGCCACTTCCTCCCTGCACCTCGTGCCCTGTCTCCACTGGGAGACATCATATCATTTTTTTTGAAGTCTTCTTCCTGATTTCTCTAGAAGTTCAATCAGAAGAGTTCTTCCCTCTCTTTTAATAAAGCTTTTCTATGGCTTTGCTCCTTGGCTCAGCCTACTGCTGACTTCCTCACATGTAAGAAAAAAACCTGAATGCAAATCACTGAGCAGTATGACCCTGAGTTACTCATTGATAAAAATCGATTAATTTAATTCTGAAAGAATCTCATGTGGTAGACACTACAATATTCCCACTGTGCAGATGAAGAAACTGAGGCACAAAGAGTTTTAAAAACTTTTCTGAGTCACATATCTAGTGAGTGGCATGTCCTGGACATGAGCCTATGCTGTCTTTAGCCACCAGGACACATTGTGTCAAGAACTCTGTGAGTACCTGGTTGGATTGATCAAGTCCTCCCTCCATCTCTTCTCTCTGCATAGAATCCCATAGCCAAGGAATGAGATTCTTGCTGGCCCCTCTCTCAAAAGAAGAGCGTATTTGTGAGACCTACACTGACTATGGCACCCACGTGACTGTGGCAGTAAAACTTGACCCATTTTAGATCTGCTGCACTCAAGAATGATTATCTCAATTATTAAAGGTGCTAAACAGAGCCAGAAGCTAAACAGGCTGTTTGCTTCCTCTGGGAGTAAGCTGGGGTAGCCAAGGTGGCCAGTCTGTATACCTACCCAGGCACTATTTTTGCTCAGTAATCCACAGGAGGTGCCCCTGAACCCGAATATCTAGATTCTAATTTGATCACTACATTATTCTGTGTCACTTCCCATTAGATGTGTTTGTTTTCTCAACTTAAGAAAAAAGTACCATGGTGGGCATGGTGGCTCATGCCTGTAATTCCAGCACTTTGGGAGGCCAAGGTGGAGGATTGCCAGAGCCCAGGAGATCGAGACCAGCCTGGGCAACAGAGTAAAACTCTGACTCTTTTTTAGAAAAAAAAAAAAAAAAAAAAAAAAAAAAAGGTGTATATATATAAACTCAACAAAAGTACCAGATATTCAGGATCCTTCCAACTCCAAATTTTTATGACTGTAGATTCTGAGTCACCTCCTGAGAAATAATGCCTATCGTATAGCGCAAAAATTAAGGATGCCTCAACAGGTCTTCTGAAGACAACCTATGCTCCTTCCCAGCTTTGCCCTCCTGCTGGTCTCTTCCCCAAACCTGTTATTTCAAGCTGGTCAGCTCAGGGGGCTTCTGGATTCCTCATTTTTGTTCACACCGTTCTTTCTGCATTCCCTAGTTATCCACCCCAACCCAGTTTCTGAGTTGTCCTTCATTTACTCTGCTGTCTCAAGCCCTATGAAGCCTTCAAGTCCCAATGCAAGCCCATCTCCTCCAGGAAGCCTCCTTAGATCATCACGCCCCCCTCTCTGTGCTTTCTGATGCTCACTGACAGTTCACCGGGTTTGTCACATTATTCTCCACACATTGACATGTCTTTCCACAGATGGTCTTGCCTCATTAATTAACATGGAAACTTCTTGAACTCTCTGACATCCTTTTCCCTGCCTAGTGCCGGCACATGGTAGAAACTCAACATGTAGTTGTTGATTGTGTCATTTTCCTAAAATCAGGGAGAAAATACAGCATTCCACCTACCTTGATCTAATTTCTAAAAAGCTTAGATCTCACCGAACATGTGAGTGGCATTTAACATTTGAGTGATGTGAATAAAGCTTAACATCTAGGGAAAGACAGAAAACAGGCAAAGCTCTGGCACCAGGTTGTGGCATTTCAAAAGTGCTACAAATAATACCGAGATAGGCCATAGGCGAGGAGCAGAATACTAGCTAGCATGTAATGGGAACAGGCTCTCTCCTGAGCCCTTTACGCACATGATTTAATCCCAAAACTGGCCCTACCAGGTAGACACCATTATTTCCTGATGTTACAAGTGCAGAAACTGAGGTTTGAAGTGGTTGAATCAGTTGCCCCCACATTCACATGCATAGTGAGTTTCTCTTTTGACATGCATAGTAGAGAGTTCCATTTATTTTCCTGTTTAACATAAAACAGATATTCGAGTTGTGCCTGGTGTAGGCCCAATTTGGCTGGTGTTTCTGTGGTTAATGAGAAAGACTCTCTAATTCCTGTCCCTGTAACACCAGAGAATGGCTGACAGTCCCCTCTTCTGTGACCATCCAAACAAATCATCTCTGTGGAAAACAAAAATTGGCTTCAGACCCAAAGAATGTGTTACGATGGAGTGTAATTTAGAACAATAAGAAAGCTTTCTTTCTTTCTTTTTTTTGGAGATGGGGTTTTACCATGTTGGCCAGGCTGGTCTTGAACTCCTGACCTCGTGATCCATCCATCTCGGCCTCCCAAAGTGCTGGGATTACAGGCGTGAGCCACCGTGCCCAGCATTGGTTTTTCTTTATGTGTCCACCCTGTGTTTCTAATCTTGGATTTTTTTTATTTTATCGTTCCACAGGAAAAAGTCCTAAATTGAGTCATATCTATACCCCATGGAACACAGAGGTATAAGCTGATTGATTTTTTTTCACAGAATAAGATATCTTTCACAGTATTCCAGCTCAACCCTTGAGTTTGCCTCATGAAGACCCTGAGTCCCAAAGAGGTGAGGGGACTTGCCTAAGGTTGTCTCTGCCAGGGAGCAGAGCCAGTGTCTTCAGAAGCCCAGGGCAGAGGTCTTTCTAATCAAGCTCCTATTTTTGGCTTGGAAAACCAGGTATGCAACTTGCTAACAGTCTCCATGCCCAGAAATGAATGAAGCCTGTCTCTTTTCTCTGGTTTTCAGTGGAATTTTACTCCAAGAATTGTACCTTCTTATTTTTTGTTTAGTTCCATTGGAAGTACAAGAGAGGAAGGTATGCAAAGGATGAAGGTAAGTATTTTTAGTGTGGAAGTCTAAAAAGGAAGGTTAAGCAATCATTTTGTTTGTTCTCTCTCCTGAGAGACAGGTTGAAAGTACAATAACCTATCTTGTACTTACGGATCCCCAGAGAAGGAACATATTCTGCCTCCAAGGAGCTGCCATTTCATAGCACTCATAGTCAGAAAACTTTTCCTTACTGCTAGCCCGAACCTCTACTTTAAGTTTTCGTAACTTAATTCTGCTCTCTTTTATTTGTTGCACAAAATCAATAAAACTAAGAGCCAACACTTGGTGAGAGGCTACCACGTGCTAAATGCTAAATGCTTTACATAATTTATATTTTTGGGTTTTGTTTTTGTTTTTGTTTTGAGACAGAGTCTTGCTCTGTCACCAAGGCTGGAGTGCAATGGCACACTCAAGGCTCACTACGACCTCTGCCTCTTGGATTAAAGCGATTCTTCTGCCTCAGCCTCCCGAGTAGCTGGGATTACAGGTGCATAGCACCACGCCTGGCTAATTTTTATATTTTTAGTAGGGACAGGGTTTTACCATGTTGGTCAGACTGGTCTCAAACCTTGTGATCCACCAGCCTGAGCCTCCCAAAGTGCTGGATTACAGGTGTGAGCCACTGCGCCCAGCCCATAATTCATGTATTATAATAGAAACATAGTGGGTAGAACTAGGGCTCAGGACTCTGAAGTTCACGGTCAAATCTCAATTCTGTCACTTACCAGCAGCGGGATATTGAAAAAGTTCCTTCATTAGTTCATGCCTTAGTTTTGTGCATCTGTATAATGGGTCAAAAAGTGGTTCCTTCCTCATAGGGTGGTTGTAATGATTAAAATAGTTAATACATATAAGGTGCTTAGAACAAGCAATGTTAGCTACCATGATGATCTCATTTAATTCTCACTATAGTTCATAAAACAGTCATTATCAACATTTCATATTTAGTGTATAAGAAAGCCAGAGCATGAAGACGTTGAGTTACCCAAGGACATAACACTTATAAAGGAGAAGCCTGGATTATGAACTCAGAAAATGAGGACTCAGGTCCACTGTCTTCCACATCTCTTCCTTGGGTGTGCTAGACTCAGGGCAGGGGGCACCCTGTGGGCAAGAGCTGTTACCATTTTGAAGAGTCAGCACCCAAAGCTCTCTTTTCTTCAGGCTTAGTGATCCAGGAAGAGTGGTCTATTCCTCAGAAAGAGCAACTCCAGGTCCCTTCCTGGCATCTAGGGTCCTCCTCTAGACTCTGTTTCACCCCACAGTCTCCTTCATGGTGACTTTGAGGTGTGCAGGTAGATTTGGAGACACACAGTCCTGGCCTAACCCCCAGTTCTGCCACTGGCTTGCAGTCCAGTTTAAGCACAGTGTGTGATCTCTCAAAGTCTTAGTTTCCTCATCTGTGTAATTGAGATAATTATCCTCTGTCTTGACTTGTGAAGATTAAATGTGGCTAGCACAAATAGACCCTCAACTAATAATCTTCTTGTTTTCCCTACAAGAGAAACCCAGGGTGTCCTAAACTCTAAGCCAAACCTCTTTCCAGCCAAGCACAGATAACAAGTGATGATTTTTACAATTATTCTTTATCATGTTGCTCACCATTTGAGCTGAAATCATCTACCAAGATTATTTCCTTCAACAATCGAGATGGTGTCCGGTTGATAATACTGGTGATGGCTCGTTGTATAACAGACAGAGCTACTCTTTGGGGATTTTCATATTTCTTTGTTTTAATTGATAAATAATAATTTTGTATATTTATGGGGTACAGTGTGATGTTTTGATATATGTGTCCATTGAGGAAAGACAAAATCAAGTTAACCAACATATCTGTCATCTCACCAACTTCTTTTTTTGGCAAGAAGAATGTTAAAAATCTATTACTTAGTAATTTCAAACTGTGTAACTGCGGTCACCATGCAGTTTTAGAGCATTAACACTTACTCCTCTGGTCTAACTAAGATTACAGCCTTTGCTCAGCCTCTCTCCTTTCTTCATTCCTTCTCTTCCACTTCCCAGCCTCAGAAACCACCTTTTTCCTATTTAAACGAGAATGACTTTTTTAGATTATTTTCAGGACATTTTCTTCCAGGCTTCTTCCTTGTGCTTGTTTTTGTTGTTGTTTGTTTGTGTTGTATTCTAACACACTCGCAGTTTTAAATTCTGTTTCTTTAACAATTAACAGTGGACCTTTGCCAGTTCACA